TGTGTCTTCACTGAGGAGAAGATTGAGTCTGGCCACACCAACATAAAGCCCAGATCAGTGGAGTGTTGCAGTGATGTTTGTCCTTCTGTAGGTCTCTACCATCTGCATATATGATCATGGAGCTCAACTAGAGTGACCATCAGGTTCTTGGTCATCAGTCTAGACAAGGCCCTTCTCCATCAGTTGCTCAGTTTGGCCAGCTCTAGGAAGAGTCTTGGTTGTTTCAAACGTCTTCCATTATGGATAATGAAGGCTACATGTTTCTGTGAACCTTCAACGAAGCAGAATTTTTTCTGAAATCTTCCCCAGATGTGTGGCTTGACGCAAACCTGTTTCTGAGCTCTACAGGCAGTTCTTTTGACCTCAGGGCTTGGTTTTTGCTCTGATTTGCATTTTCAGCTGTTAAACCTTTTATTAAGACGTGTGCCTTTCCAAATCATACCCATTCAATTGAATTTGCCACAACAAATCTACAAGCAATATGAATATGAACATCTACAAGCAATATGAATGCTCCTGAGCTAAATTTCAGCTGTGCCAGATAAGGGTTTGAATAGTTAAGCAATGGAATTATTTAAGTTTTTATTTTTTAATAAATTTGCAAAGATGTTAAAAACCTGTTTTTTTCTTTGCCATTATGGTTGTATGGAGTGTAGAATGATGTGGGGAAAAAAGTAATTTAAAGCAATTTAACATAAGGCAGCAACATAACAAAACGTGAAAAAAATATGATTATGAATACTTTCGCAAGGCACTGTATATATGTATATAAAAAACATTTATTTTGGATTCTATTAATTGCGATTAATCGTTGCCCAGCACTAATTTATTTTTAATATGAGTTTAGTGTTCTAATCCACCCCAACATTTTTTTTTTTTAATAAATTACAACAATAACAAAGGTCAAGCTAACTCAATGGTCACTGAACTGTATATCAGCACTGGTAACACATTTGTTTCCATTTTGCTTTCTCACCCAGATCTCCAGTTTGCCATTCTCTTTCTTACAGCGTGAAGCGAGGGTGTCGAGTTGAACAGTAGCCTCCGTCTTTAGCTCAGCCGTCTTGTCCTTGACCACCACATGCATTACTCGTCCTCTGTGGACGTGAGCGTCAAACGTGCTGCTCCAGGGGGGATACATGGTGGGCCGCTTCTGTTTGTACATCTGACCCTTTTCTGTAGATACACACACAAGTATAATACAAATACATCTCCAAATCAGTTCCACGCCGCTGACAGTTTGACTGGACTAAGCTTTAAAAGTATCAGCACAAGTAAATCACTTCATGTGTGTTACAGCATTCTAACTGGATTTACCGTATCTGAAACTAATACTAGTGAAAGGGCTCAATGCTCTTTCTGTTTGATAGTAATCTGACAGCCTTTACTGCAGGAAAACAAATATAGAGCCATGCAAATGAAACCATGCAATTTTGGTAGAATGTCAACATTTTCCCTTAGTTAAAGTCAACATGACATTTAAAATCAGGTCTGTTTTTTTTCTTAATGCATATTCCTGGTCTTATTGTGCACGAAGCATCAATGCACATTTGAAAAACACATTTGTTTTCATAATATTTCATCAAAATAACTCCTAAAACGATTTTCCTTTTTGCTGACATCATCAAGTCCTCTTATTTTTTAGCCCCTCTCCTCCAACCACCTGCCTACATTCAGTGTATAATGCCTACTTTTCTTAATCCAATAAATTCCCAATGGATAAAGTTAAGTTTAGGTCTACATTTATTTATTTATTTAAATATATTGTTTCACTTGTTGTTAAAACAGGTTGCGACATACAGTTTATCTGACTTATACTTAAAAGCAAATCAAGAAGAATCAAATTAATAACTATTTCTGCAAAAGTGCATTTGAACTTACTGTATGCATGGTTTTGACAACTGAGGATTTTTAATACATCATATATTTACATGCACGGATGTCCATTTATTTATTGGTTAAATTATTTTGTTTCACTTGTTGTTAAAACAGGTTGCAAACACTTTCATTTAGAGTAGAATTTGACATTAAATGCATAAAAAACTGGGCATTCAGCTTATCTGACTTGTACTTGACAGTGAAGATGATTCAGAAGCGTTTGAGACTGACTTGACACTTTATATTTTGACAGGTATGTGTGGTTGCGGTTGGTTCTAGAGAATGAAACCAAAGGGGTTGCTGGGAAAGCCTTGTGTCTTCAGTACTGCTCAATGGCCATGTTTGAGTAACATGCATGTGTGTACAACTGCTTATCATTTCATCTGATCTGATTTACACCCACATTTTACCAACTATGGACATCCGTGCAAGTAAATATATGGTGCATAAAAGTTCTCAAAAGATGAGTTTATATGCACTTTAGCATAGTTACTTTCTTATAAATTTGATTCTTATTAATTTATTTTGTTGATTATAAGTGGGCGATGTTCTAATTATTTGCAGTATAGAAGCAGTAAAACATTGCAGTGATCAATGCTCTTAAAGGAATAATTCAAACTATTTTTTTTTCACGTCTGTGACAGAAGTAGTAATGTTTGATTTATGAATTAATCATTGTTTTGAGTCTTTCAAATTAACTGGATGATCCAGTTCTTAAATTCTTAACTCAATGAATAAATTATTCAGTTGCAGTGACTTCGGAAGAATATAGTGCAAAAATCCTATGGAAATGTATGATAGTTTTAATTGTCTTTTACATTCTTTTAAAACTTAAAGGCAACTGTTCATATTCATTTTATTTGCTTGGAAAAGGATGTCCAGAACATTGTTTAACATATATATAATATACATTTACATTTAGTCATTTAGCAGACGCTTTTATCCAAAGCATAGAATAGAAAAAATAGAATAGAAAGATATAAATAATTTTAAAATGTTTTTTTATAAAAAAAGAAGATAAAGTAGAATTCAAATAGAATAGAAAGTGCTAGAGTTAGAGGGTCAAATAGAGGTGGAACAGATGTGTTTTTAGTCGTTTCTTGAAGATGGCTAAGGACTCAGCTGCTCGGATTGAGTTGGGCAGGTCATTCCACCAGGAGGGAACAGTTAATGAAAAAGTCAGTGAAAGT